CGGCAGCCTGCGCGCTCCTGGACGCCAACGCCGCCGCCGGCTTGCAGCCTCACGCCCCTGAGTTCGACGCCGTCGTCGCGAGCCAGACCGACATCATCACCCGCGCGTTGGCAGCGCGCGACGCTCTCTCAGCCGCCGAGGCCACCGACACGCTGACCAGGCTGGCCACGAGTCGGTTCTACCTCGGCCAGAAGCTGGAGATCACGCGCGCCGTCAACCAGGCGGTGGCCAGGTCCACGCAGGGGAACAGGCCTGTCGTCAACGGAGCCCACCAGAACCAGGCAATGATGTACCTTCAGAACTACCTGCTGCAGGACGAGTGGGACATCCTGCTGGACCTGAGACAGGCAAATCACACACTAACCTGGGCACACCACGCGGGCCCCTCTTAGGCCCCTCTTGGGCCGTCCTGGTGCTTTTCTCAGCCCGCAAGATGTTTGCCCCGCGTTCCTTTTCTCCTACATCATCCCGCCTGCCTCGTCATGTCCTTGCCCGCCTTGGGCCTCTTCTCCCCCCTTCCCTCCCCCTTTCCCCTCCTTCCTCCCACCCCGTCCATACTTAGCCTCTCGTCGCCCGCCTGCTCCGACCCTCCTCCTCAGCAAATTTCTCCTCTGATCCCTGGGCCCGCTCCTCATCCTCCACCGTTTTTCGTGCGTCTGGCTGTCCCGAGGTGTCCCGCAAGAGGGTCGAGACCGTCGCCCGCCGCCTGCAATTGCTGAATGTGGTATACCCATCCGAAGCGTCAAAGCTCCACGCGGTGTGCATTGTCATGCGCGCCGAGACTCCACCGGGGCAGGCGGTCGTGCCCGATGCCGCTCGATCCTTGGAGCTCTTGACCGACCTCAAGGCCACGATCAGGAGGAACCGACGTTTGCTGGTCATTCCCAGTCACATGCCTGTGGTCCGAGATTTCCCATCAGATCCCAGCCAGTTGCTCAACGTGGCGCCTGAGCTGTTCATCTTTGCCTACCCTGGGCCACAGGCGAGCACCCTGACCCTGCGAAAGGCCCCGTGGGCTCGCCCGTGGAGTCCACAGATTTGATCACGCTCCGAAGGCAGCTCCCCATGCGCGGCACGCACGCGACTGTTACACCGAGGGGGAGGGGTGCGGCCAGCGGCGGCAGCGGGGGCATGCAGCACGCGAACATGCTGTTGCAGGCCAGCCATTGTTGCCGTTGCTGGTCCTCGTCCTCCTACCCCTCCTCCTGCTCCTCCTCCTCCTCCTCCTCCTCCTCCTCCTCCACCTCGTCCACCTCCTCCTCCTCAGCCTCCCCTCGTCATATACTCCCTCACTCTGCCCATGCTACCCCGGCGCCCCTCCAGGGAGTCGTTGACGTGCATGGGTGCACCTGGCAAGTAAGATGGAGGAGAGCATGACATATGTGCGCATACATGCACACACACATATATATATGTATATATATACACATATAAATGTATATATATAGGTGTGTACGACGATACGCCTTTTCAATCATGGGGCCCATAGGGCACAGAGGGCAAGTAGTGCTCATAAGCTCGTAGGGCTCCGAGGGCTCATCGGACTTTCAGGGTCAATGCGGTTCATAGGGCACATGCGGCTCATGATATTCATAGGCGTCAAAGGGCTTGCAGGGCTCGCTGGGCTCATAGGGCTCATGTGGCCGATAGGGTTCCTAGGGCCCATAGAACTCATGGGCCTCATAAGGCTCACATGGCTCAGGGGGCTCATGAGGCACATCGGACTCATAAGGCTCATAAGAGTCATAGGCTTATAGGGTTCATTGGGCTCAGAGGGTTGGTTCATAGGGCTCATAAGGTTCACATGGCTCAGAAGGCTCATAGGGCTCATGGGGCTTATAGAGGGCTTATGAGGCTCACAGGGGTTCATAGGCCTCGTAGGGCTCATGCGGCCGACGGGGCTCATAGGGCACAGAGAGCCCAAGGGGCTCATAGGAGTCATAGGGCTGATAGGCCCGGTGGGGCTCATAGGGTTCAGAAGGCTTAGAGGGTTCATGGGGCTCACATGGCTCGTATGGTTCATAGGGCTCACAGGCCTCATAGGGTTCATAGGACTCATAGGGCTCATAGGGCACACAGGGCTCATAGGGGCTCATGGGGCTCGTGGGGCTCATGGTGCTCACAGGGCTCATAGGGTTCATGGGGCACACAGGGCTCAGAGGGCTCATAGAGCTCACAGGGTTCATGAGGCTCAAATGACTGGGTCACAGGGCGCATAGGCCCATAGGGTTCATAGGGCTCACAGGGCTCATTTGGCCCAGAGGGCCCAGGGGGCTCATGGAGCTCATGGGGCTCATGGGGCTCATAGGGCTCATAGAGCACATAAGGCTCAGAGGGTTCAGAGGGCTCACAGGGCTCGCAAAGATCATAGGGTTCAAAGGCGAGGGGAGACTTCCGTTTACGATTATTCGGGAAAATTTGTCAATATGTGTATGTACGTACGCATACATAGGTACATGCACACATCCATCCATCCATACGTATATACACACATATACAC